CGACTTCTTTTTGGGAAGGGGTGGAGCAGTGCAGCAGGTGTCACACAGCGGCAGTGTTCGCCTTCAGGTCAGGGAGCAGAGGGGCACCACACGCCTCTCCCCCTCCACACAACAGCGAGGAGGCAAGGCTGGAGTTTCCCACAAGCCTGGGGAGCGAGCAAGCGTCTTCGCATGCGCACACGCCCCCAGCCGGCCCCTGAGGCAGCACACACACCTATCCCCAGCGGTGGGCAGAGCCCTCCAGCCAGCAGGCAGCCCCAGGCCCTGCGCCCACCTTCCGCTCCCCAGAGTCGCTGCAAAAAATCTGAAAGAAGTTTACTAAATCACAGAACACACAGCCTAACTAGCCTAATTTCCACTTCAACATTGAAGCATCAGGAAGCCACTTCAAGACAGCACAGCTATTTGAAACAGTTCAGCCTACGGAAAAAGTAGAGCCTAAAGTACATGACAGACTGGAAGTTGGGATCTGCATCACCGCAGGAGAGTGGAAAAAATAGGACTGCAAGAAATTGATCTGCGTTAGATGCTAACCATCAAGCTGCGCAGATGACATCGCGTGACAAGCACAGAACAATTATGGGAAACACTGTCCCCGATAATTACGTACACCCATAGTGCAACATATGGAGGTCACTGCCTCCGATATAACACCGTGGTAGGCAAAAACTACCTTGTTCTTTACACATTATGGAAGACACTGCTCCCGATAATGTCAGGTTTCATAATACACAAGGTACTGGAAGTTTGCAAAAAGCTGCCATTTCAAAATTGGGCCAACGCCTCATCTTAAGTACAAGAAGTTTGTGTGTGTTGCCACAGGCAGAGCCAGGGCTACACGGCAAGCCCCTCTGGGGGGCCAGGGAGGAAGCTGTGCTCCCCACACGAGCACACAGCATCCAGAAAGGCGGCGAAGAGGGAGTCCGAAGCCCCGAGAGGGGCACGGACACCACAGGGAAGCCAAATTTCTAGTATTTGAGTTTCCACCCAGGTTTTTAGCATTTCAAGGATCACTTTCGAGCACAAGCCAGAGACTTGCTACCAGGTTTACACCTTCAAGTTTCTTCCAGAGCGGTGTTTTTGCCACAGAAAGCTTAACTGCTAGTTTTCAAAATCCTTTTTTTTTTTTTTTTGAGGGGCCTGTTTAGATCATTTTAAATGCAAATTTCCAGTATCATGTTCGATTGTAATAGCAGATGCTGCTTTATTCAAAACGACAGTATAACTGTCATAATTATGGAAGGCACTGCTTCCGATAATTATCTTCTATAAAAAAACACACCATTTATAGTGAACACTGTCACTGATAAATAAATAAACAAATAAATATCTCAGTGCCAAACAGGAGCCATCCTGCAAAATGGCATCAGTCAAACAGGGTTTGTCCAGCAAGAGACTCGATTACACAAAAGGCCCCAAAGCAGCAAGGTCTGAAGTGCCTGCCTAGAGCCATCTCTCAATGGTGCAAGGCCCACTGAGGTGCCAGCTAGGGATATAAATGGGGCAGCAGATAATCTTTGGGTCATTTTCCCTGGGTATCGAGGCCTGCCTGGGCAGAAGCAAGCCTTCAAGACATTGTTAGGATCCTGCTGTTGATTGAAGGCAAGCCAGGCACTTCAGAACTTGCTGATAATCCAGCACTTGTGGGCTATTACTAGGTTGTTTTATTTTTGAACTACAGGTTGGTCTCTGCAGCTCCCTGCCAGAAAAAAGGTTCTCATTACATGCGTTAAAGAGGAATCCATTCCCTGTTTTGTCACTAGGTTTAGGGGGTCAACAATTAAAACCTTAAATAGGTGAGGTACATCCCCACTCATGGCAGGGGAGGTACCTCAGGAGTCACCTGTGTGTTAGTTCTCAAGTACACTGGAGAGCAAGCCCCACAAGCAGCTGTACATGACTGGTTTATACTGTGGTCAGCTGGGAGCCTGGTCAGAGGAGATTTCATGGTAGTCTTGTACCTGCCTTAAAACTGCCTCCTGTGAATTTGTCAAGGTGAGAGTTAAATTTTATGCTCAACTTTGGTCAAAAAAGATTCGTTGCCAGAAAATCTACCGAAAAATAATGCCATGTTAGGGAATGGGTTTCCCTAATCCTGTACCTTAACCAGTTGTTTGCTGTGTCTACAGTTCATTGTCTATATCCCAGATATCACCTGCTAAGGCATTGGCAGCACCTTTAATGGTCCAGGTTGCCAGGGCCAGCTGCTCTTTCAGCATCTTCATGTCCACACTGTCCACACTGGTTTGCAGCAGCTGAAGGTTCTCCAGCAGACTCTGCAGAGTGTGGGAGCCTTTGCCAAAGAAGATGTGGCGAAAGGGAACATCTTTGGGTGAGAGGTATGGGGAGAGGAAGTCGTACTCCACCTGGAGTAGGGATGCAGTTTTAGGGTTATGCTCTCACCTCTCCCATTTTTCTTTCCCAATCTGCCCCATCATGAGCTCCCAACCTCTGACCCCCACCCAGACCTTTCCCACAACAGCTCTGCAAGGCTCAGACCCAATCCCAACAGCAAGAGCAGAAGTCAAGTCACACTGTCACTAGGCAAGCAGAAGATACCAGCCCACACAGTGCCCATGGCTCTTAAGGAAGAAGCCTGTCCCACCCAGCAAGCTCCTCCTTTGTGAAGAAAACCAGTTGCAGATACCCACCTTCATGATCCTGTCATTCAGGGCTCTGCGGATGATCCTGTTTTCCCTGTCACTGTTTGCAATGTCTCTCCTCAGTACATCTGTAGCTCGCTGGAAGTCACCACGGGCAAAAAACAGCCAGTTCAAGGTCAGCCCCTGTGCCTGTGAGGGAGGAGCTGTTAGCAAACCTGATTTTCTTCTTTTGCTGCTCTCCTACCGAGAGAAAGTGTTGGGTTTTTTTTTCCCCCTCATTTAACCAAGAAGCAGAGCAAGTTCCTGGCAGGCTCTTCCCAGGTCACTGAGCTCAGTTACAGCTGTCCCCACCCACAGTTTCTTGTAGGCTTTCAGCAGAGGTGCAAATGAAATGCAAAGCTGCTGTGAATGAAGGATAACTAGACAAGAAACCAACCACATCCATTTCCTCAAGAGTTAACCAGAGCTAGAGTAGCTAAATCTGGCTGCCATAGCTACTCTGCTTACACTGATCTATAAGGAACTGAGATTCAGGTCCCATCTTGCTACACTCATGTCCAAAGGAGGGAGATGTCCATATTAGCACAAGGCCCTATAAAGTCTATAGAGATTTGGTGCACTTGGAGCCTTTGTTACCTTCACAACCTGATAATAGGGCAAAATCTTCTCCTGGTATGCTAGCAGTTCTTCACTGTATCTCCCAAAGTCCAGGAAGAGCTCATGATCATGGGTCAGCCTGAGAGCTATTTGTCCAGCAACTTCTGCAGCAGCACGCATAAGAGCATACAAGTTGTCAATCTTCTTCAGGTTCTCCACAGTGTCTTCAGTAGTGCCCAAGAAGGGATATTCTTCATCCTTCTGCAAGGAAGAATGGCACTAAAATTAGGCAAAAGTGCTTCTCTGCCCAGGATTTTTCACCTCCCCTTCCAGTTTGCTCGCTACTTCAGCCACATCCCATCTCCTTGTGCTGCTAAGGAGCCAGACTTGAGTGGCAAGACCTCAAAGCACAGGGGAATGGAATGGAGCTCCCACATCTCATCCCTCACAGTTTCCAGTAAGCAGCAGGATGCTCTACTAGTTTGTTAGACCCAAAGACATAGAGACTTCCGTTCACTGCGGAAGCACAGGCTGGCAAATGCCAACAGCCAGTTTGGTATATCCTGGTAGCACTCTCCAACCCTTCCTGGCAAGATAGCTCATCAAGAATTTTTGTGGAACACGTCTGACACTAACAAAATCCAAGCACTCCTAAGCAAAGGGAGCTGTTACCAGAGAGGGTCCCAGCTGCACACCAGCAGTAACAGAGCAGGCTGCTTGGCTGGGGCCATTTTGCCAGCCCCAATCTGCAGCAGGAGACCTGAACAGTCTGAGTTAGTACACGCTCTTACTGGTTCCCCAGCACGCTTTGCCTGCTGATCAGCAGGCTGTAGCACAGTCTTTCACCAAAGCATCAACAACTTGACATCGTTTTAGTACTTTTGGCCTCCAAATCATTGACATCTGAGCTTCCAGAAGAGCAAGAGGCCCCTCTCCCAACAAAACACAAGTGTTCAGGACTCTGGAACTGTAGGCCAACCATGCCCCAGGAGCAGCCTTCACAGCAAGTACTGCCACAGCCACCAGCTCCAGAGGCTGCATCTCCTCTTGCATGGACAATAAGCACTTCATGCTCTGCCATCCTGGAGCGCACCTATCCTCACAGCACCTTCCACAGTATGCGTAAACCAGGCAGGCAGATAATACTTACATTCCAGAAACCAAAGGAAACCACTGGGATTCCTGAGTAGGCCAGGAAAGGGAATGCTGCATTATCCAGACCAAGTGGAACACTGCAAAAGGCAAGTATCGAGTAGTTACCAACTGGTTTGGACGTGCCAGGAGAAAAGCTACAAGCCCCAGAATTGAAGCTCCGAGCCAGCTGGACTACCCTGTCCAGACATGACTGGTTTTGGCAAGGAGTCCAAGGCAAGTGCCAAGGGCTGCTCACCCACTTCTGGCCACTGCTCTTTGCATGAGGCTGTTCTTGCCCCACAAAAAGGTGTCTGAGCTGCCCATGGGCAGCTTGGGGCAGCACTAAGCACAGGGGGTGTTGTACTGTTCACACCTGCCTGATCCCACTGCAGCAGACAGAGCCCACCCCAGGCAGCAGCGTGACGCTCCAGCACAAAGAGCAGAAACCACTTAGTTCCCTTGCAGATATCTGCTTCCCCAAAGAGCAGGATGACAGTACTTACACTGTTTTCACCCAGTCAGAGCCGACTCTGTCATACAGGCTTCCCGAATCCTTTGCTGGGTCGGCCACCTGCACAGAGAAGACAGTCACTGCACTGGTTCTGACCTCTGCTTGGGCTTCCAGGTCCATTCTGGAGCTTGCATTGCTGTGCACATGCCAGAGTCAGATGTGCTCCCCTGACCTTTCTCCACACAGGCATGGCTCACGCGGGACAGACATTCACCTCCCACTGAACTGTGGCATTTGCTGATTTTAGATTCTGCACGCGTGAACTGCAATTCCCACAGCCCATCTGACTTCAGACAGGGCCCTCTGGAGTATCTCAGAACTTTCTATCATACTCCTAAATGGAGCTTTCTGCTCAGAAGGTGCCCACTGGTCAAGGTGACCCAGCATAACCCTAACTGCTTTCAGTTCTTCCTTAAAACCAGACACCTTGATTAACCCAAGACTCTTCCACTCACCCCGTTCATAGTTCTCTCCAGCAACGTGTACAGCAATGGGCTAGCAGAAATCTTCATGTGTTTGGAACCTGCAAAAAACAAAGGTTGTCTGACATGCTGTCACAATTAACCACTACTGCTAGAGCTGCTCAGCCCTGGGACTGATCAACAACTGATCTACAGCTTGCCACCGAAGGATCTTCAATAGATACAGGTCGGTTTATAGGGCCTTAGCAGAGCTGCCGCCTCCTGACTCAAGCTGCAGCTTCAATGACACCAGGAGAACAAATGGAGTCATGCCAAACACCCAGCATCACCCCCTGGCACAGTCCCCATTCTGGGAGAATAAGGGATGTCTATCAAGCTATTCTGATCCCACTCAAGTTTCAAGAAACTTAAAAGAGTAGCAGGTTACCTAGGACTGCAGCATCCAAATTAATGTAAGTGAAGGCTTTGGCATGCAGCGTTGTAGTGTACCCCTAGAACAAAACAAGTGTTTTAAGATGAGCAGGAGCAGTACAACACCAAGATGTGTCACGCACAGGAAGTCACAACTGTGCAGCCATCATGCAGAAGTCCATCAGAATCCCCCAGTACCTCCAGCCACTCCGTAGCCCCCACGGCTCCGTACTCCCCTGCACTCCAGCTCGCAAAGACGATGCTGCGCCTGGGTTTGTAGCCCTCTGCAAAGAGAGACACTGAGATGTCTGCCCTTCCCCATGGAGATGTAGATTAGCAGAGCTAAACCTGCATTACACCTCCCCCCACCCCGTGCTTTTGTACACAAATATTTACCATTTTTCACTATGTCCGAGATCACACGGGCAAGTTCCAACAAAATGGCAGTTCCAACGCCAGCCTTGGCCGCTCCTGGGCCCCAGGAGTCTCTCTGGGCTCCGATCACGACATACCGATCTATAAAGGAGACATCAGGGTCTAAGCTGCAAGCTCCAGGTTGCAAACACCATCTATCAGAAGAGCAGTTCTGAGCTGCTGTACTAGGAACACAGTATGGAGTGTGACCCCCTGGATCTGGCACACTGCTTGCTTTCATTTAGGCTTTTCCTGGCAACACAGTTCAGCTTTTGCCTTGACCCTTAAGTGGTTGTCTGTCTAGGAGCAGCTGTCACTTTCTGATGGTCACAAGAAGAAAAAGGGTTCCGCTCAAGACTGAGCCACAAGGCAGCTGCTGTTACCTGGTTCTTCAATACCCTTGACAGCACCAAATATGTTCAGAATCTTCCTATCCACCATAATGTTGTTCACGGTCAGTTTCACTGTCATGTTGCTTCTTGGCATCACCTTACACTCCAGGAGGTCACTCTTCCACTCTTGGAAGCAGTCTCGTCCATCCATTCTCCTGAGTGAAAAAGAAAGATCCTTTCAGTTCGTTATCCAGCTCTGACCTCGTTTAGCTATCCTGTGAAAAAAGCAACTCTGCAATTGCAGGTGCAGCCTCATTCAGGGCCTGCTTCAGGAAAGAGCCTGCAGTCCTCTACCGCTAAGGTAAGATGCAGAGGCCAAGAGGAATCCAACACTAGATTTAGTTGACTCTAAAACCCAAGACATGGACACGAGCACCTTTTCTCCACCCAGTTCCAGAAAGCGCTCCCTGCGATACACAGCAGAGACCAGCAGAGAGCTCCCTGGGCTCACAGCACCTCCACACCATCCTCAGCCTTGCAAGAGAGCCATGGCAAAGCCAGGAAAAAGAGTTACCTGAACAGCTGGGCTACTGTGTTGCTAGAGACAGTCTGAACAGCAATTTGAGGTAGCCCAGAAGATTCCACTGGTGGGAACTGGGTGTGGTTGAAAGAAGGAAAGCCTGGGGTGAAAGGGTCTCCAGTTCCAAGGTGGGCCTGTAAAAAGCAAGCAGTCCTCAAGTCTCCAAGGAGCCCAACAGTTTTAATCTATACACGGGCACGAAGCACTGCTGAGCCAGGGGCCTGCAGGAGTCCACAGTGAGACAGGTTCACAATGACAACAAACAAGGGGAGCCACTTGCATACTCACATGTCCAAATGGGACAAGTCCCTTTGTGTTCTTGTAATCGTAGGGGTCCAGGTACATCAGGGCACCAACTGCTCCAGCCTCTTTGGCATTTGCAACCTGAAGCAAAGAGGAACACCAACTGCATATCTGCACTGCAAGCCAGGGGAATTAAGACAAGTACGTGGAGTAATGGTATGAAGGGTCATACTCCTCAACATCCAGCTCCACAACAGATTTTAACAGCTACCTGGCAGTGATAGATACACAAGGAAGCTAAATACTGGCAGCTCAGTCCTGCTCCAGGCAGAATGTGTCTAAAACCCTTCTGAACAGTTAGGACACTCCACAGCTACTGCCTCACCCTATGATTCCTTCAGCTCATACTTGTTTCTCTGAGAGGCTTTAGAAGACATTAGTTAATTTTGATTATGCTTCATTTGTGTCCTTAAAATTAGGTTAGTCTCAAGTCTAGATAAGCAGCCACCGGAGGTTCATCTTCACATAGAAAACGGAGGCAGAGTAGCCTAGTCAATCTTTGTTAATATACCTACAACCCAGCTGCCTCTGATATGCCATCAGTACAAACTCTTGCAAGGCTAGAAAAATTCCAGTTTGAAAATTGGAAAGGGGACTGGAGAACCATTGAGCACCCCCTGCAGAAGCAATTTTCAGCTCTGTCTGTGCCTGATGTATGCAAACATGCAGAGGATGACTGAAAAGAGTCCTATGTCCCAGCCTCCCCCGGAGCACCCACCTGAGAGGCAGCTCTGGGTCACAGCTAGAATAAGCTTGGAGAGAGGACGAGGATCCTTTAGGCTGCTTGGCTATTCAGATTGACTCGCTACAGAGGGAACATCTCAGCAACACACAAGGCAGCTGACCAGACATGTGGGGCCAGCACCTTCACTTGGCCCAAGTGAACAGTCAGCAAGGGCCCAGGTGAGACACTGCAGCCAAGCTTTGAAGTGTCCAAGTGCAGCAGCACTCGAGAGATGCTCTGGAGGCAAAGTTTTTCTGCTTCTAGCAGCTCTATTGCTGCAACCAGCAACACCAGCCAGTTTTGTACCCTGCAGCCGCCAGGCTGCCTTCGTCCTCCATCACTTCAGATGCTTGGCAGTCCCAGCAAGAATGCCAAAGGCCAAGAAGAATGCCACCATGAACAGCAACCAGCTCTGCTCAGTCTTGGTGTCCAGACCTGCACGTAGAGGCTTAGAGCAAACAGGCAAGACCAGGCCTGCAGGGCCGGGCTCCATACACGAGTTCTAGAGACCTGAACAAAGGTGCTTCTCTGTGCCTCAAGAAAGAAGAAGCATAACTTCCTACTGCTAGGTTTGGCCAGCTTTTGGGGCACAGACTGCTTACCTTCTCAGCAAGGGTTATTTTTCCAGCTCTGAAGATGACTATACATCCATTCAGTGAAATATCCTGATTCTGTATCATCTGAAAATCAGCCTTCAGTCCATAGTTGACATAGACTGGTTTGCCCTGGAACAGAAACACTGGTGGTAAATGCAGTGGTCCTATGTCAGTACTTGAAACAATCTACAGAGTCACAGCAGTGGTGACTTCTGTTAAGAGCAGGTAGTTCAAGCTCAGCAATGTAAATCCGGATCGCATGCAACATGCCTGCTGGAACATCACTTCTGTCAAGATTCCTGTCTGGAGCCCTGCAGGAAGTTTATAGTTACTTCTGCATCTAGCTAAAGTAATAAAACTATGTGGGCCCACTCCTCACCTCCCCACCCCCACGCCCCCCAGCTCTCTAACTGAACAATGCTTTGAATACTCGGTATCTTGAAGGGGTTATATTTTGGACACTGCCACCTGCTAAGCATGCAAACGCATTTCCAGGATCTTCTCAGAGTCACTTACAGTAACTGAGCCAATCTTGCTGTATGCCACATATACATCAGTACTCTCCAGTATCTCTTCATTATTTCCCTGAATAGACACTTCGTTCTTGCTACTGTTAAATGTAAAGAGACAGTGTTATGTTCTTTCATACATAAACTCCACATTTACCCAGCTCCCGCACTTCAGGCTGCGCCCTGGCAGTTCTGACCAGGTCCGTGCAGAGCCTGAAGGCAGACTCATCCCAGTACTTCTGTGTAACCACCTCTGGGGTTCTTCAGAGACATTTACGAATCCAAATTGCTAAGGCAAGCAGCAAAAAGAATCTCTGGTTCCAAGTCTTGGCCCCCTTCTTGGGAGAGCTACGCAAATTTATTTCCCCCCCCAACATGAAAGGGCAAGTAAGACATAAGGGTAGGAGCAGTCAGCCCACACAACATGTGCTGAACCCTCTTGAGCTACTCTTGGAGCTACTGCCAGGTCTGCAATGCCTGTCTGCGTGAAAAGACAGTTACTCATGCTAGCAGATAACAGACACTCTGGATTAGAAAGCCTGAGAGACAGGAGTGGCTATTGCTTGGCTCGACTGAGGCCTTCAATCTCTTCATTAACATACCTGCCATTGACCTGCAGCTTAATGTAGTGCTCATCGTTCCACACTTCATCCAAGAAGAAGCTGGTGAACTGTTCGTGGATGTAGCTGGCAGTGCTCTCATCATTACTCTGGCCAGCTTCAACAGAGTTCTTACCTTCTCTGTGCCTGCAGGTAACAGATGTATAGCTTAGACTACAGCACCAGGCTGCAAGACTCCAGCCTGCAAGCCCAAGTTGGAGAGGCCATTTAAGAACCATATTTAACCACATGCCACCCCACAACATTTTTAACCCCCTTGCTCTCCAAAGGAACTCAACTTCTGTTCACAGCCTGTGCCTCTCTCATAGCTGCAGCTAAGCTTTCTGGAACTGTTACCTCAAGTTGCCCTCAAGATCTGTAGCTGACAGCTCCTTTGACAAGAGCTCTCTGAGTTTAGGCCAGTAGAAGACAGGTGGTCTAGGAACCTCTTCATCCTTGCTTTCATCATTATCATCCATTAAGTAAGATGTGGTAGGAGTCATCTCACACTTGCCACTTCCATCCACACATCTGCTAGCCTTCTGCCATCGTCCACGGTAACTCAAGTAGCCCATCAGAAACCCTACGGACAGAACAGGTATTTCTTTGTGCTGCAGAACAAGGACTAAACCAGACCCATGCCATACAAGTGCATTCAGAACAGCTCCAGGGTTCAGATGCATCTCTGCTCTCACACCATTTTGGACAAACTGGCATACCTAAAGACAGGCAGGACTATGCAGCCTGACATCTTGCCTGAGCTGGCATGTTTTAAGGTACCCTGTAAATCTGATCTTGTGCTTGGCAGAGTCCCTCCAGCACCACTTGGGAAGGAAAGCGCTTACATTAGGTCAGTGGCAGTGTTAAAAAGCCTGAGAGATGAGCACCAGAGGCTTTACTGATATGTTGACCCACATCTCTAGGGAAGTGTTAAGAATTAGTAAAGGGAAAACCAGTACACTTGCCATGCAGAGCAGCCTGCCCTTTAGTCAAGTCACAGTTCCACTGTCAAACACCACACTTCCTCATGCCTATTCTGCACCGTAAGCCTGAGCTAGACAGAGTTAGTGAAGAGAGGCTGCAGCCTGGATCCAGGCTCTTTAATTATCTCCTGAAACAATATGGATCCAAACATTAACTGCCTCAGATATGCTTAGTGACAGAGTCCATTTCATGCGGTTGTCTCCCACCCTTCCTTACCAATTAAAAGGAGGAGGACAGCTGCAATGATTAGGAAGCAAAGGTTCTTGCTAATCCTCCATCGAGGAGGCGCGCTGGCATGCATGTGCTCTGGTCTCCCCATCTCCCCTCCTTCCTCATCATCAGCAGACAGATTCATCTCCACATGGCTGTTGTCTCCATCCATTTGCCGGGCAATGCTGAAGCGCGTGTATGACATTGGCTCACCACTAAACTGTGTTGAAAGATAGTCATAGGATAGAAGAGTTTGCTACACCAGCCTACAGACCTTGCAGCCAGCTTAGTTGGTCAGAACTAAACCAACATGCTTTCAGACCCGCGGTGCCATCCTGGCCCACGCTACCTGCCATGAAGGGGCTGGCTGCTCACACTTCTGGCAGGGCAACAACACCGCAGTCTGTCCTAGCAGTCCCCCTGCTCAGCTGCTTGACAGCACAGCTTCCCTCGTGCTTTGCAGGGAACATGCCTCAACCCCACATATTCCCCACACTCGTGAGGAGACCAAACCATCACATTCGCAGTCTTAGCCTTGGGTCATTTCACAGCCCAGGTTCTCTAAGACTATCAGGCTTGGCTGTGCAAGCTCAGAGCTACCTCCTCCTGAACATTTGCTTCAAAGCACAGGTCAAATGCAAAGGCTGGACCTGTGGTTCAATTCCCAACCCCGAAGTAACGTAAGTAGAACACATATTGATTGTCCTGATAGGCATTTAATCAGCTTCAGCAGCAGCACTTCCTCCTCTAACACTGTTCAGGGCTCAACCCCCCAGAACCCCCCTTCCTTATCAGCTTCCTGAGAGACCCAAGACTTTGTAGCAGCTAATACCGCTTCATCCACCTCCTTATCGCGGCCAGCTAGCTACAGTGACGCCTGGCTCACGACCCACACACCAGCACCTAATGCTGCTTTGGAGTCCTCATATTCTCCGATTCTAACCCAGACGATGTTGAGCTTTTCTTCTGCAGTACTGTCAGCCCACCCAGAGACAAATGGCACAGGGGGGCTGTGTCTTACCCAGTTAGAGATTGCAGCTCTGGCATGGTCCATTGCCTTCTGGAGGAGCGCTCACCAGCTTGATCCAAGCCCTAGAATTTCAGAACATAGTAAGTCAAGTCAGACTATTCCCCTACCACTGCATGAAAGATCCCAGGTCAGTCTCTGCCACTACTGCAAGGCTTGCCTGTGAGTTTTATCCACACACTTCTGTTTAAGTGACAAGATTGGTGAAGCTACACCAACCTTGAGCGCAACCCCAAAGCTCACATATCCCACTGCAAATATATATTCTGATGTGATAAAAAAACCAACTCTTTCTACTGAACTTCAAGGATGGGGTGTAAAAATGAGGAATATAGGTTTAAATAGCTAATTTCAGCCAAGGGTCTTATTAATGATAGGGCCACCTCCACTCGGGGAGTGCTTGCAAGAGGCACTTGCCTAACCGTGATAACAGACACTAACGCAGCTAAGGTTCCTGGGGTCTGTCACAATGACAGGATGGAGACAAAGAGTCTGACTGGTAGCCAGAAGCGGGACAATGGCATAAGGCAAAGACTCCCACCCTGTCAAAACACTTCCAAACGCAAAGTCCTTTCTAGATGGCTATAGTCTTTACTACTGTATGATAGCAATTTCAGTTCTGAACGGTATCCCAGAACAGCCAAGAACAACTTCCAAAAAGCATTCGGTAACTTCTATAGTTAGGGTTTCTCTAGGCAGCAAATATATCTGAAATGTAAACTGTAACCGATTTAGCTCCGCATTTCTTCCTGACAAGATGCTTGAAAAAAAGCTATGTAAGGTAGTGACTAGACAGCTCTGGTTGGGAGAGGCGTTTAGGTTGGGAGCATGCAACTCGAGTATGCCCTCAAGCACCTCTTGCTAGGAAATGGCTTTGAACTGGTCGTCAGGTGCAGGCAGCTCAGCGTTACATCTAGGAGCTCTGCAATATAAGCAGGCTTTATTTGGAAAGCGAAGGTTAGCAGCGACCATGCGCTCACCTCTCCTTGGCTTCAGGGCACGACTACAGGCAGACGAATCCCTGGCAGTTTTGAAACGCCTTTCCCGAGAGACAACCTGAGGCCCAGGCTCCAACCTGCTTGGGCAGGGCCCAAAAGGGCGAGCGTATGGAGAGTCTCCCAAACCCCGACTAGCCCAGGGCTGGAGCCGAGGAACCCACGAGGGCCGGTGCGCATCGCACCCGGGCGGGGAAAGCACCTTCCCTCCTCCCGCCGAGCGGCCGGGGGGCTGCCAACAACCCGCAAGCCCTCAAAAATAAGGTAAAGAGGAGAAAATAATAACAACGCTAGCACAGGAGCAGGCTCCCGGGAGGCTGAGCGGGCAAGGCCCGGCTGCGCGCCGCCAGATAAGCAAGCCGAGCGATAAGCT